TTCTCACCGTCATCCTGGCCACCCACTCACTACCCTTTATCTAGACAGGAGCCTCCTTCCGCATTCTCAGGGCTGCTGCTTAAGCCAATCCATCCCTCCCCAAGGAGGGCCCTGGGAGAAGGCGCCACCTATCTGGCCGTCCCCAGAGATGCAGACGGCCCTGTTTGTTCTGCCTGGGAGGCCTTCTGTGCTGGGAGGAGCCGTCCCTCAGGGGGCTTCTCCTGGTTGTGAGGCCAGGAGACCAGAAGGGACAGGGAGGTTGGCAAGCTGTAGCAACAGGAGTTAAAGTGCAGCACGAAGTCCAAAGAGGCTTCTGTGATGTCTCAGCAGGCAGACCGGCTCTGGGAACCAGCGGCGTCTGCCCCCGAGTCCCGACACCTGTGTAACGTCACACTGCAGTCACCAAGGGTTCCCCCAGGGATCAGCGGAAAACGCCTTGGACTGAAAAGGCACCCTAGAAGCATCAAGGAAATGAGGGGGCTGGGAGACTGTGTCCCTCCGAAGCCGACCTGGGGGGTGGAGCTCCTGGAAACAGTGACAGGGGCTGGCGGAAGAGGAGGCCGGTCTCTGGGCCTGTGGCCGGGAGTGGAGGAGGGGGCAGCCAGCGGGCAGAGCACCAGAGGGGCCCCAGGGCTCCCTGAACACGCGGAGGGCAGCTCTGGTCCTCTGTTCGAGACCATTCCTTCCCTCCCTGCCCCCACCAGCGCCCATAGAACACAACTCCCGCCGTGTTCGGGCCTCCAGCAGGGGCTCCAGCGCCCCCGGGCCAGGGTTCCTCTGGTCCTACAGCTGGTCCTGCCACCCTGCTCACAAGCACAGGCCCCCTCCACCCGCCCCCCACCCCCCGCTGTGCTCCTGGGTCAGGGTCCTGCCTATTCTTCAAGACCCAACTTGCCTGTCCCTGCATGTGAAGCCTTCTCTGACTGCCCAGCTGGAGATGGTCACTCTGTCCCAACACCCCCTGCGGTGAGGTTCCCGCCTGGTTGTGAGCGCATCACTGCATCGACTTCTTTCCGCATTAGACCCGGTCCTCCCTCTGCCCTCCGTCTGTACCTGCTGGATAGGATACAGGCAGCGGGGTTGTCACTGTGACTTAGGGGAGAGAGGTAGCTGCCCGTCTGGGCTGAGATGAGGAGGGAAGCTGTTGGGGGCTGGGTATCGGAAAGGCTCTGAAGCTGGGCCAGCCGCTAGCGTGTGACCCTCGGCTGCTAAGCCTTACTTAGACTTGGCTGCCTCATCTAACGGAGATAATGCTTATCTCATTGGCTTGCGGTAATGATCGACCCGGATGCCCTGTGGTCAGAGGGCAAAGCTGTTAGCAAGCATTCAACACAGTATCTTGCAGTTTCTCCCAAGTCAGAGGAATTGTTCTCTTGGAAGGAGGCACAGACGACCTAGCCTCCTGCAGCCTTTTGGCGAGGATACTCTTGGAAGCGGCTTTGCCAGCCTATTCAGGGGAGGAAGGGCCGGTTCTTCTTCAGTGCCTCGGTGTGTACTGAGACTCTGAGACCTCTTGGGACACACCTAAGGTAGTGTCAGGTCAGCTGTAGGGCAGGGCAAGCCCCACCAGTGGGTCATGCCGACTGACACACAGCTGAGAGGCCCCAGGAGCCAGACAGGGGGTTCAATGTCAGCAAAGCAAGGTGGCCACGTCTGCATCTACCAGGAGAGGGTAGGGTCCAGGGCTGATGTTCCGATGGGCAGAGGCAGCGAGAGGGCTCAGCCTGCACAGAGAGGACAAATGGATGAAGACAGCAACTGCACAGTGGGTAGGGTGTAGGGTGGGGAGAAGAGGTTTGTACGTGAGGCTGAGAAGGGCCAGGTCAGGACCTGCTGCGGGGAGAACTAGACCACAGAACATGTCTCCTCCAGGCAATTTCCTCCCTCTCCTGCCCACTCCATCTTCTCCCTGCCCCGGATGCAGCACAGAGCCGGACTATTCTCATGGGGCCAACAGGACAGTGTTTGGAGTGGGGCCTGGTCAGGAAAACCCAGAAGTTCTGCATGCTATAGCTTTGTTCCTACAAAATCCCCTGCCTCTCCCATGTCCCAGGTGGTAACACCTCTGTCCCCCCCCCCGCTTCATCGGCGACATCTGACTCCCACTGCCCCTGAGGTTCTGGGGAGGCTGCCTCCCTTTCTCCAGCCTCACACACACATCTCCAGGTTTCAGGACAGAGCCGGGGTGAAGACTGGAGAAAGCGCAGGCAAGTGTGGTGGTCACACAGCATTTCCTGCAGACTCGGAGCTGCATGGCTCCAACCACGTAAAAGGCCTTTCCAGATGCCCTCCACGCCAGGGGTTCTGCCCAGCAGCTCTCACCCTGCTTTATTTGCCAAGTAGCAAAGGTGGGATGGGAGAGGGAATGGGAAGCTGCTCCTACCAGGTACCTCCTTCTCCCTGCCCCCGATCACCCCACAAAGCCAGAGTGGATCTCCCTCTGCAAAGATGGTCTACCCTCTTCCTGCCAGCTTCCTGCTTCCCTGGATCCCCCAGAAGCAGAGCCAGGGGCACCTGGTCGGCGGGAGAGGAACTTCGGGTGCATGGATGCACAGAGGCTGGCCTCCCACTTCTGAGACGCCCACTACTGAAAGCTGCTTCCCCTAACCTGCGCCCCCCCCACCCCAGCACCTACTCATTTACTCTTGCAGCCCCAGTGGCCATCAGGCTGTTCATAGTCACCCCAAGGGCCGCATCCTAAAAGTCTGGTCCCAAATGGTTTTTCTTTTTCTCTCTCCTTTAAAAAAATTTTTTTCTGACTACAGTAGCCTCTCGCAACTTCACCTGGGGCGGGTCAGGGAAAGGGCAGGATGAATAATAAAAGATGCAGAGTTGAAAGACCTGGGCAACCACCTTCCCTGTATGAAAGGCTTCTCCTCCCCCAGGGGTTATGAGGACAGGACAGCACTTGGGGTGAGGCCCACGCAACATAGATGGTTGCCAACATTACGGACACAGCCTGGGTCCTGGGACCAGGGAGGGCAGAGAGGCAGTGGGGCACAGGGCCTGGCCACACATCCCCAGGACAGGGGTGGTGTGGGAAGAGCTCCCCAGATAGGTGAGCACACTAGAAAGGCCCCCAAGGTGTGCCAGTCCTCAAAGTCCCTGTGTGCAGGCAACTGACTGCCCTGTTCTGAGCCCACCAGGCAGCAGGCTATGCGCTTGCTTCTCTGGGGGGCCTCCTGCCTCACCATTGAGGAAGTCCTCTACCGTCACACTTCTTGCCCTCACCAGGTCCCTACCTACTTGTTCCGGGCCAAGGCATGCCGGGGCTGCTGTCTCCCACTCAGCCTCATCATCTAGGTTAAGAGCGCCCTGGGGCGGGGCAGCGTGTGCTGTGGCAGTGGCCGCCACACCCAGCCGGGGCTCCGCCAGGAGCTTCTACCACTATCGTGTGATTGTGGGTAACGCCCGGCGTCCACTGGATTGTGAACCTGCGAAGGCAGGGATGTTGACCCCCTTTTCCACTGTTCATTCCCGGCACCTCGCTCAGGGTCTGGAGCACAATAAACAGTTACTCAATAAACATTCGCCGAGTGAGATGCATGGTGAGGCAATGCAGTTTACCCTGCGCTGCTGCCTTCTCCATTCCCAGGACACCTCCCCAGCCCATCGCCACCTGGGACTTCTCTAGAGCCCACTAGGGGACGAATAAGGGCCTGAAGCTTGAAGACCTGCAGTCCCAAACGGACACCTGAGAGGAGGATGCAAAGTGCTCCACTGTGCCTGACCGGGAAGGCTCACACCTGAAGTGGGGCTTCCTTGCTGTGCTCTGGGAGAGGGGGCTGGGGGGTGCAGACTCCCCCTTCTGTAAAGGCAGATCAGTGATCCTTTGATTAAAAGGCATTCTACAGACAAAGACGAGCACAGAGGCAGAAGCACAGGGACAGGCGGTGAGGAGAGAAAAATCGGAGCTGCAGCCTGCCCAGCCGCTGGCTTGCTACTGCCCTCGCTGTCAGGGCCTCTTGCGAGACAGCCAGAGCCTGGGCCGCCCCCTTCCACCTGGTGTTCCTGGGTCGCACACCATCCCTCTGCCCCTGAAGCACCGAGTGGGGAGAGGGGGGAGCCCAGCCCTCCCCCTGCCCACTCCAGCTGTCAATCTGCTGTCTGGAAGAAAGACTTGAAGCTTCATGACAGCTGTGGGCAACTTTCCCTGCCCCGCCTCCCGCCCCTGCCTGCCCTCTTCCCCTCTGCTCCCTGTCAGTGCTCTTCCCAAACTGCTTTCAGGCTGCCTTCCCTCCTCCTTCCTTCCTTCCTTCCCTCCTTCCTTCCTTCCTTCCCTCCTTCCTTCCTTCCCTCCCTCCTTCCCTCCCTCCCTCCCTCCTTCCTTCCTTCCTCCCTCCCTCCCTTCTCTTCTTCTCTCTCCATCCTTTCGTCATCTCTTACAACTCCCACAGCTAATAAACCTATGTGACCTCCTGAGATTTCTAATGATGAGCTTTTAAGCTCCCATCCAGGTCAAGATCATTCATAGACTGAGTGTGTGTGCGCACGTGTGTGCGTGTGTGTGTGCGTGTATCTGTGTGTGTGTGTGCACGCGTGCACACGCGCGCCTTGGCTATGGGGTGGGTAACAGAGCTGACAGGTCTCGGGGGGGGGATCTAGCCCCCTTGGGGTTCTGGTGCCTTCCGCAGGAGGGGGTCACTGGGTTATTGACCCCCCGTTCCAGCTAGACCAGGAGCCTGTTTTGCCCACCTTCTGGAATCGGGTATTCTGGGGACAGGAGCCTCTCCCAGGGCTTCGTGCTACATTCAGGTTCAGGGAGAAGATCAAAGTCCATAATTAAGTGTTCAGGGCAAGTTAAGTGCTCCAAACTTTGGTGCTAAAAATATTGTATTTAGCATGCAAATTATGCCCTGACAGCTCCCCGGAGCCTGAGCCCGTGGGTGCCAGCACCTTGTTTGTTATCACCGCTGTTATTCTCAAGGTGGTAAGAATATTCCTCCTTCACTGGGTTGATTTACATTTCATTTTTAAAAAGCCAAATTTCTGTTGTTGGGTCAGTGCCAAGTCATGGCCCCAGAAGGCTTGGAGCTGCGACTGGTCTGGAGCCCAAGAGGCAGGAGGACACGAGGCCACGTTACGCAGGGCCTCCCCGCCTGCCCCGGAGGAAGGGGGTCCTGATGCGAGACAGGGGAAGGGGCAGACACAGACGTGGGCACAGCCGCACCTCGAAGGCCACCTTTCCCACAGAGCCTTCTCTGCCCTGGTGGACGAGCAGGGCTAAGGACTGGGCCTGCAGAGGTGCCAGGACCTGGAGAAGAGGAGAAGGGAAGTGGGGATAGCCTGGCTTGCCTCTGGTAGGACCCTGCTGCTCTGGCAATGAGGGGACCCGTGGGCTACTGGAAACGTTCTCCCCTTCCATCTTGGCTGGTGGTTGAAGATCAGGACCACCCAACTGCAGCTCTGAGAGCGCTCACGTCCCTCAAGAGGAGAGGGCTGGATGAGGGGAGAAACACACAGGCACACACGTCTTCTCCTTGGCCCTCCTGCAGCAGCTCCTCTCCTCCTTTCCCCCACAGTCCTGTGCCCGCTGATGGGGGCCAGGGCCACCTTCTCTGGAGGGTCTGCAGAAAGGCTCTCCAACTCTGACCCCCAGCACAGACACGGACCTTTGGCCACACCGGGTGCAGAGACTGGAGGTGACACTGCACCCTCCGCTTGAGGGGCCCTGCATGTGACTCTTGTCAAAGTTTTATTAGTTTGGAGCATGTGTAGTGATGTTACAGAGTTTGGGGCCTGGGGGCTCCCCCAAGCTGCAGCTTCCCCTCCTCCCTCTGGCAGGGCCAGGGCAGGCCGAACGGTATTCAGCAGCCGCTTAGCCATGGGCTCCTCTAAGGCGGAGGCAGTGGAAAGAAAGGGGGACAAGAGGACTGGAGAGTGGAGAGGCGGAAGGAAGAGAGAAGGACGTGGTTTGCGGCAGAGGGTGTCAGGAGCAGTCTCCCATAGGACCTCAGACACCCCCAACCAAGCCCCAAACACGTCATGTGCCCGCCTTCCCTGCCAGCTCTCCCAGGTTGGCCCGACATGTGCTACAGAGAGGCACCTACGTCCATCAGGGGGGCAGCAGAGTGGGCTTGGGATAGGGGTGGTCCTCTCCCCGCAGACCCTCCTGGGCTCTTGGAGTATGGAAACCTCACGGGGAGCTGGGTGGGGTCGGGACCCACTGCTGTGGATGGAAGTAGCAGCTCCTGCCAGGCTCGGTGGGGGAGAACGGGTGAAGTTTTGGGCTTGGGCTTCTCTGGGGTCCATCCAGACCTGGTATGTACATGGGTCTCCCTGGCCTGAAGTTGCCTGGGGCCTTGGCAAGAGCTCTGGCTTCCCTGGTGTAGGCCTTGGGGGGTGTGAAGTGTCCATCGCTCCCCACTGCCCGCTCCAGCACAGGCCTGTGAAGACCAGGCCAGCATGGCCTCTGAGCTTTGACACTGGCCCAGCAACCCCAGAGCCCCAGAGAAAGGTCAGAGAAGGCGGCTGTGTCTTTGGTGCCAAGGAGAGAGGGTCTGGAAGTGGGAGGGGGCTCCGTGAGCTGCCTCTGAGCCAGGGGTCCGGCCCGAGGGCTGGCACCGTGCCTGGCTCTCTAGCACTGCCCTGGTAGAGCGAGGGTGTGCGGTCAGTGAGGGCCGTGGAGCCAAGCTAACGCCGCAGGGCCTGCGGGCGAGGAGAAGGCCGAGTCTGCCCCGTGTCACCCTGCCCACGGATCCCAGGGCCCGAGGCAGGGCCGCTGGGCAGGGAGTTGGGAAGCAGGCTGCTGTGCAGGTGGGCAGCTGGGTCAGCAGTGTAGGATCTTCAGGAAGGCCTTGCGGAACTCAATGTTGAAGGTGGTGTAGATGATGGGGTTCACGGCGCTGTTGACATAGCCCAGCCACGTGAAGGCGCTGTACAGGACGGGTGGGATGTTGCAGTCACAGTGTATGTTCAGGATGTGGGTGATGAAGAAGGGCAGCCAGCAGATGATGAACACGCCTGGGGGAGAGGGGGGCAGTCAGGGGTGCCTGGGGCCGGGGAGGGCCTGGGTGGGGAGGCTGCGCCGGGTGGGGCAGAGGGGGAGGACCCGGATCGCTTGCTTCAGGCCCCGCCCAGGCGCCAAGGCTGCAAGAGCACCACAGGGGGAGCCGCGGACTTGGATGCTGGACCTGCCTCTGGCCCCAGTTTGCAGTCATCTCACCTCCCTCGGCCTTGTTTTCCTGCCTGTGCAGTGCATATAACGATACCCACTAATAAGGGAGGATAAAGGGCTTGAAAACAAATCCGAATGCTTAACACCCTGACACGGGTCAGCTGGTAGAAATGGCTGTATCTACTCTACTTCCTCGTCGTATTTGAGACGACCTTCCGCAGAAGCTGCGAGTGGAGAGTCTGTTCACTGCCGTGGGGAACGCGCGGTTGGGGCCAGAGGGAGAGCTGGGTGCACAGCCACTTAGTCCTCTTGGCATCCCCACGAGGAAGGCGGGAAACCGAGGCTCGGGACAGCTCTGTGATGCGCGCAAGGCCACTCCACTCTTGGTGGCAAAGCCGAGACCTGAACTCCAGTCTATCAAGGTCCCCAAGTGGCCAGGCGCTTGCTACGCTTTCCCCCAGCTTCCCCAGCCCTTGGTGGACACCCCTTGCTAATCCCCGCCTGGTGACACAAGGCTGTCACGAGTCCGACCTCCTGCCCACCTCTCTGCCTGCCTAACTCAGGACCTCCTGTTCGGTGGGACGCTCCGTGGGGAGGCACCGTCTGCACAGAATGCCACACGGGCACACGGGAATTCCCCGGGGCTGGAGCAGTGCCTGGGAAGGGCAGGGCCACAAAGCAGAGACCCCCAGGACTGGAGCAGAGGCCCTGGCCAGAGCCCGCTCTGCCTCTCCCAGCCGCGCGATCACGGGTTGGTCCCCTAACCCGCTATGACCACGAGCTCTCATTTGTAAAACCAGAATAGTGACACCTGTCCTTCTCATGTCATAGGACTGTTGGGAGGCCAAAGGGATGGTGAGTGTGGGTGGGTGTCACAACTGCCCTGGGTGCTGCCTGGAAGGCAGAGACACATCAGTCCCTCCATCCTGTCCCCGTCACCCATATCAGTCCAGCCCTGGATCTTGACCGAGAATTTATTCTAAAGCCTTGTCTCACTCACTCTCATTTAGATCGGGGGCCCCCTCACAGCCCTGTTTATCGTTCACAGCTTTGGTCCCACCGGGTCTTGCTTGAGGCAAGTGAGTTTCCTGATTCCTCAACAAAAGCAATATTAACAACGCTTGTGTGTACGGCTTTGTAGTTTGTAAAATGCTTTCACCACCGTGTATCATCTGATGACCACGACAACCCTGAAAAGTAACCTACTCTCTACTGATGGGGAGATGAGAGAGAGAAATGACCTACCCAGGGTCACAAGGTTCTGGGGGTCATTATGGTAAACTGGTCAAGTTCAGATTCTGAAGTGGGACTGCCTGAGTTTAAATCATGTGTCCTCTTTGATCAAGTTACAAAAGCTCTCTGAACCTCAGTTTCCACATCTTTAAAATGAGCATAATTGTAGAATCTACCTAGTCAGATGTGTCCGTGGGCTTGACCTGTGCCTGAAAAGTGCCAGTCCTGTGACCTAGCAGCCATGATTGGGGGGGATGGTAAGTAATGGGACCTAGAGTGACGGGTCCATTGCTCAGCCAGGGCTGGGCAGAGGCGGGCTGTGTCCCGCAGCCAGGGCCGACTCACCGAGAACTATGGCGAGCATCTGGGTGGCCTTCTTCTCCTTCTGCTGGGAGAGCTTCCTGCGGCTTATGGTCTTGAGAGAGGTCCGGGTTTTGCCGTTGGGCATGGTCTGGATCTCAAAGAACTTGGCAATCCTGGTGTGGTCTTTGGCATGTCCGTTCTTCTCTGGTTTGGCAGGACTGTCAGGTGTGCTGTGGAGGCCGTGGTGGGATGCGTTGGGGAGGGTCAGCTGGTGGTGGCTGGGCGCGATGGGGCTGTACCGGGTCCTCTCGGGCGGGCTGGTGCTGGAGAGCATCTCCATTTCCAGTTCCTGGGCTCGGCGGGCAGCCTCCTGCGCAGAGGCAGAGAGCTCTGGGTAGAGCCAGGCAAGTTCTCAGCCATTGCCACCCAGCCTCACCCGGCCCCTCTGGCCTCACCTGGCCTCACCCAGCCCCACCCGGACCTTCATTATCCCCCTACGGAGACTCCTACAAGCACCCAGGGTCACTCTGCCAGCGAGGCAAGGGGGAGGATCATTTTGGGAGGCAGGGACTGTCTGGGGGCAGGACCCAGGGCCCAAGGCAGTCCCCACCTGCCAGGTCTCCCTGGCTCCCTTCTCAGAGCAATCCCCAGGCAGCCTCAGCGACCCCACCACCATTCTATGGGGGCTTTGTACCTGGCGCTTCTCTGTTAGGAACTAAGCAACACTCACTGAGTGCCAGCTAAGGGCCAGGCGCCAGCCTCCAGGACCTCATGTTCTAACTGCATGAGGGCAACCCTGTTCTTCCTGCCAGGCCGAAACAGGGGCTGTCAGGCTGACCCGAGGCCCCTGTACCAGCACTCACAGGTGAGCTCCATTTCTCCTGGTAGACTGACGCAGGGGCCGAAGGGTGGACCCCTGGGTCCCCACATCTTCCTCGCTGGGCTGATCTTGAGGGCCCTGACCTCAGGTCCTTCCTCATGCTCCCTTATTCCAGGACTTAGGGTCTCAGCCTGAGCTTCTGAAATGCAGCCTCACTTCGTGCCCAGGTGCCCCGATCCTGAGTGCCTGTCTCGGCCCCTGTATCTCAAACGGTTGCTTGGAGCCCTGCCCTTGCAGGTGAACAGTGAATGTTCAAGTGAAGAGCAGGGGCCCTGCTTCCTGAGAACACCTGACCTGGACTTGGTGTGCGTTCTCTGTGGGTTCCCTGGCCCATCCTCTTCTCACCCCCCAGGGGATGGGACATCTGCTGCTTGGACCCTGGTGCTCCTATCACTGAGCAGACCCTGGGGTCTGCTGGGATTCTGCATCTCTGGGCTCTACTTACAGGCTGCACTTTACTGTGAGCCCCATGCCCGCTCTGCTCCCTCCTCCCCCAGCACCCAGCCTCCAGCCCCAGAACCTGCCTGTCTGTAAGGCAGCGTATGCAAGTGGAAAGAACACGGGCATGGATTTCAGAGAGTCACTTAGGTCTGGACTCAACTACTCACTCTCTCACTCACTGTTTGGCCTGGGTGAGTTACCTAACCTCTCTGAGCCTCTCTTTCTCTTCTATAAAATGAAGACCCATAAGATCAAGAAGACTTAACCTCTCAGGGTCGCCGTGAGGATTTGATGAGATACTAGGAAGATGGTAGGTGCTCAGTTAATGGTCATAGCCATTATTATTATTGTTATTGTTATACGGCCAAGTCCTTTCTCCCAACCATTTCCTTGTGCTAGGGGTCCCTCTCTGTGCCTTGCAGAATTGAGCTGTCTTGCTCCTTGCCTGCTTACGAGTGTGTGTGGTAAGCCTGGCCTCGGCTGAAACAAAGTGGGGGATCCTGAGAGGTGCTTATCCCTTTGAGCAGCTGGTGAGGTCTTCGAGAATCATGGCAGGTGCATTTCCCTAGAGGCAGAGACCAGGCTCCAGGTCCCTGACCTGGACACTTACCACTCTCCGCCTGTTCACAGGGAAACTCCCATTAGACTTCATGATAACGGTGCAGAGTTTCATGTCCTCAGGGTGAGTGCAGTTGCCCTGTGGAGTGAGCCAGCACATGGGTCATGACGGGGAGGGGGCTGGGGACAGAATCCCAATGCAGGATAGTCAGACTGGGCACAGGAGCTCAGAGGAGGGCAGAGATTAGGAGGTTGGGGGCCTGAGGAGGCAATCGAGGCAAGGGTGGGCTCGGTACTGTGATGGGAAGAGGTGGGCAGAGTGAGGGACAGCAGGGCCCTGACTTTTGTGTGGCACCTGCTAAGGGTCTGGCACCCTAGTAGGCATGCTCAATCCCTCTCACACCGAATCCTCAAGACCACCCTGTGAGATCTGTATTTTCATTCACGTTTAACAGATGAGGAAACAGGCTCAGAGAAGTTGAGCAACTTGCCCAAGGTCACTCAGCAAAAAAGTGGCGGTGCCAGGATTTGAACCTGATGTGTCTAAGCCCAAAGCACTTGTTCCTTCTGTGCCCACATACCGTCTTCCTCAGGGAGGGCTGAGCGGAGGGAAGTCACAAGACACAAGTATGGAAAAGAAAGGGAGGCAGAGGAGGGAAGTAGGCGGGAGCAGGTGAGGTAGAAGGAGGTTTGAACAGAAGAGGACAGAGCATGGGAGATAAAGGAGATGGGATGGAGGCCTCAGAGGGGCAGAAAGGGAGACAGAAGGGCCAGAGTGAGGACAGGAGAAAGGGAGGACAGCAAAGCCGTGGAGTTCCAGGAGCTGCTGGGTTCAGACAGTGGTCTCCATGCAGAGTCCTCTCCCCCCAGGTGGTCTCCGCCCACTCCCCACCTCCGACCCCTGGAGATTCAAGTCGCCCACTGAGGTCCCAGCCTTCGAAATCTGCCCGCGCCCGGCTCCTCGGAGCTCCTCCAGCCTGGACCCCATGCACCCCTGGGTCACGGTTAGGCAGGGATGTCGGGGGAGGGGAGCTCGGGACCTTGAGCGGGGCCTTCAGGTTGGCCCTGAAAGCCCGGCTGCTGCGCTTAGTGTTGACCCGCTTGCGCCGCCTGCGGAGGACGATGTAGATCTTGATGTAGACCAGCAGGGTGACGAGGAAGGGCACGTAGAAGGAGACGATGGAGGAGTAGACCACGAAGGCGGGGTTGGCGATGATGCATTCGTTCTGGTCTGGGGGGAGGAGAGCCCCAGGTGGGTGTGTCAGCAGGCCGCCCGGGCCACAGCGCCTTCCCAGTTACCGGGAATATGACTAGACGCCTAAGGCGGCCTGGAAACGTTAGATGTAAGTAAATGTGCAGCATAAATCAGAGTATTAAAAACAACCATGAGCAGAAAGCCAAGCTGTGATGACTGTTTCCAAGCGTTTCCATTAATATCCCCTCGTTACTTC